GTATCTATAATTTTCTACAACCAAACTTGTTTATTTTTTATTTAAAAAACCGTTAACCTAAGACTTAATTTTTAAACTTATTTAACCATCTGACATGCAGTATTATTGAAGTTAAGGTCTCAACTGAGGTCAGCTGTAAGTTAAGAAACTCGGTAATTACGGTCTGGATTTTTGTAAAAACACTTAAAGTAAAATATTGCGAAAAAGATGTTCCGTCTATGCGGTATATCAGATAGCGGTCAGCACATCGTCGTCTTGATTATCGCGTGACGATTATGATGGAAAGTTGCGCATCAGGTACGGTGAATTAACGAGCATAACCGCCTTGTGCCGATTCGCGCTTTTGCAATTGAATTTTGAAACGGTTTCCCGATCGCGATTCGTGACACGCGCTCAACACTGGTGGTATCGAACAGCACGTTGATCGGATATAATGTGTAGTCGTTCCTCTCTCACACATAGATATTAATATAATTACTATATTAAAGTAAACATAAAACGACAGCTGATTTGCAATGACATCATCAAATTATTATTAAAACGTTGTTGAATTTAATTATTATTTAAGAAAATATAAAGCATGATTGTGATTAAAGATATTATACAGTTACAAAATTACATCTTGTTCGTAAAAAGATAAGTAAAATATAGTAAAAAAATAGTTTGTATTTATAGAAATAGTCCATTCAAGTGCTTGTTAAAACTTTGTGTGGAATTTTTAACATATCCGAGTGTTAGTTTAACATAATGTTATTTGAATATTTATTTGTATTAAATTGATATTTAACATTTCTTAGTGTTAAAATAACAATTTATAAGTGAACAAATAACATAAAAATAATGTTTTCTTAAAACGTAAATACTGCGATAAATATAAAATGTATTAAATTGACATATTAATTTTAGTAAAAAAACATAATACCTTCTGTATTGTTTTACATTTTTTGTGTTACTTTTTTTTACATAATATTTATGTCATTTTTTAAGGTTTCCATGTTGTGTTAAATTAAGATTAAAAGGGTACACTCATAATAGAAAAAATAGGGAATTAGTAATAAGGAATGATTTCAACCTAAATTAAAAACCGTATTTCGCTATATTTGATTTTTAAATCCAAATTCATTTTTTTTTTAGTCTATTTTCGTTGAGAATTAAAAATAAGAAGATTAAGTTGAATCAGGATTTAAAGTTAATCTACATATATTGATAAAAGTAGATATGTAACTCTACCACAAGAACGAATGTTGAAAAAGATATATATAGTTAAAATATTGAATATATACGCACATATATATATTATATTAAAAAATATCCGGAGTTGTCAACGCAATAACTATTTAATTATCGAATAAATGGAAAATTTATGTTAAAAGTTTTACATATTCTAAACGGTCCACTCAAAGAACTATAGAAAAAATGAAGAATATAAGTGAAATAAGATTACACTCAAACATGCGTGTTCAAAAAGGGAACATAAGACATTTACAGATGTCTTGAGGATATCTTTATGACATGAAAGATATCTTAATGATGCTGAAAGACATCTTGATGATATCTTTAAAACGTATTATGTTTGCATTTTGGATAAATTAATTCCTGACTAGTTGTTGGCAGAAACGAGCATTAATCAAGTACTTAATAATGTCGCGAGTAAGATTCCGTTTTAGTATGCATCGAGTTGCATTTCGGTCGCACGACTGTTGCTACTTTCACGATCGATCGATCGTTACCAAATTCCTCAGAGTACGTTACACTCGATGCCGAGTGTTCAGGTACACTCGCAACAATTGCGCGCGATCATGCCGCGATTCGCGGAGTAATGGCGCGGTTTCTAAACTCGATGGAATTTCTTTCCTAGAAGCAAAATCGACCATGATATCACGAGTTGCGATTGTCGCCATTATAGGTGCCGACATAATGCTTCGTTCTTATTCCTGGCGTGACTTCCTCGCCTTTTCCGCCGACGGTGTCCCATGTAATTGGGTTACGAGAACAGCCGTCTACATTGTTACGAGTACTCCTCCCTAGCAGTCCTTCGACATTATCCTATCCCACCATCGTGTTAACAACGTTTTGTACTTTGATCGTTGCTATAATTAGTTTTCGTTTCGCTTACCTCATTCAAGGTTTGCAATAATTTTTGCGTTCTTATCAGTAACTGCATTAAACGCTAGTCTATTTACAGTTGCCAATATTTACACAATACTCACAGAAAATATTAGCAAAAAAAAAAAAAACTGAAGCGTTGTTATAAAATATGTTTTGATAATCTTAATAATGCCTCTTTCGTAACGTTATATAAAATTGATCGTACTAGATATTAAAAGATCAAAGACATAGTACAGCGATATAAAGTCTTTTCCAAATAACTAGATGGGCACACGTTTCATCGCTATTATAAAATTTACGGCGGCTTCAATTGATGCACCAGCCGTTGAGCAGCGTCGTGTAATTACTCGATGCTCCATATACCGCTCGCTCGTCGTGCAGGATTGAAACGCGCGCGAATCATTCAATAATAAATCGCCAATAACTCCGTTCCAGTTCCGTCAAGATGACCCAAATAATGCGCTTTTCGACCATCGCGGCAATAATCGGTGACAATTATGACAGCGTGTGGGCAGCAATGGGGGTTATTGGGCCGTGTAAGAGGTAAAAGAAAAGAAGGAAAAAAGGGGGAGGATACAAGAGATGGGCACGTTTTTGGATAATGACCCACGCGCTCGATCCTGCATGAAACGGATAATTGAAGTGGGTGCACTGTGATTAATTAACGTCCACGCACGACCAACCATTGCACCGTCGGCCCGACCGGCTTTTATATCTCGTTGATCGTTTGCCCGACGTTTCGCTGTGAGACTGATTAATTAAGTAACAACTGTCTGTCGGATCATCGATGGGCCTTTATTGCGCCCTGAAACTGTCTGTACTACGCGTAATACTTCGGCATTGCCGCCGAGAGAAAGTTTAGTCTTTCGTAAAAAAGGAAAAACGCCCGTGGAACGCCGATTTCTTTCGCAATAAATTTTCTACGACATGGATCGATCGAGGACCAACGTGTTATTATCGCACTAACTTGTGTGACTCGTGGTATAACGCCGATAGCGTAATATAATTATTATATAGCTATTTATAATCATTTAACTTGTTTGATTGCTATTTCAAATTTTACGTAATCGTATTTAATTAGACTCATGTAGATGGAAATGCATGTACCGTCTGGTCACATCTCTTTTTTATCTTTCGAATATTTTCACATTTACATGCGATGTGATTATTCTCGGCGTCAAACATGTATACTTTCACTTTGTTACCTCTAAACAAAGTTATAATTAACAGAAAATTAAAAAGTTAATTATTTTTTAATTTTTTTACAAGCAATCGATATAAAACAATTGTAAACAGAAAAATATTTATCAATTTAATTGATGGCCTTCTCTCATAAATGAAAAAATGTTTAAGAAACTATACAATATCGATGTCTGTGGAAAATTTTTGAGAAATCATTTGGAAAACTGTCAGGTCAAAGATCAAAACCGCAACAGGTCCTACTAACATCCGTTATCAGAGGACGGAAGTAAGAAACCGCGACATTAATTGATAAGAAATGACATCGGTATGTACTTAGCAGTGGATATTCAAGTTTCACTATAGAATGTTAATCGACTCTCCATCATTTATCTTACCAAGTAGTAAGTGTATGACTTTAATTGCGGAACTTATTTAGAAAAACAGCCTTTGCTACATTAAATTAATGACCACGATTAAAGCAGCTCGTTACACTATATCGACGAGATTCTGCAGATTAATTAAACAGCAGATGTCAAGAAAAAAATAATTATCACTATTACATGCACTTGCCTTTTCTTCAGCGATTTTAATTTTCGCACGACGCTTAGTCGGTTATGAAGATTTGTCGGTTAGTGAAACATTCAAAGAAAGCCCCAACAGGCGGCGCCACGAGATTAGCCGATCGACTTACCGATCATAGAGAGAGCTCTAACGATTTAAAACGATTTGTTGGTACAATTGTTGCAATTAAAAATCTGAACTATTCTATATAATTGATAAATTATTTCAAAATGTAAGAAAATTAATGTTTATAAAAAAATAAATATACGCGTTTCATTTTAAATATAATAAAATATAAAGAAAAATCTAATTATCGACTGAGTAAAAATTATATTTGTAGTCAAGTAGATAATATAGTGATCTGTTGCATATTTGAAACAATGTAGATAAAGCATGATAATAATTAGAAACAAATAAAGAAAACCGATTTAATATTTAAAAATAAATTTAAAAAATATATATTTGTAAAATTATTCTTCTATTTTAGAAAATGTCAAGTGTAAATTTAAAAAAATAATATAACAAATGTTTTTATTACTTTACTGTTCTAAACGACAAAACAATATAAAAACTATGGCACGATGCGTGTTTTTCTGCTGGATTGCTTGCATTTTGATAAATTGCTAGAAATTCCGCGTACTCTGTGTTGCAATTCTCGTAATTTACTAAAACGTAAGCAGGAAAATATACATGTGCCGCAGGCTTTAGTAGATTATTCAAGTAAAAAGTAAAAAAATTGAAAATGCAATTCTAATAATTTTTTCACAAACATTTTTTCAACTAAATATATTTACATTTCTATTTTCTAAGAACAGGTTATATATACACCAATTACAAAATGGTATCTACAAATAAATCTCCAGATAAAAAAATTATATTAATAGTACTTTTTAAATAAAAATATCTGCCGTCAATTTTCACGCTGACATTACACGTACCTTATAAATTATGCAAAACTATCTTTGAGAAATAAATGACAATGATAATTGACGCGAATGAATAACCAGACATATCACATAAAGAGCCCTTTAAAAAAATATAAGTATTTGACTTCCACAAAATAACCGACTAAAAATAAATCCATTCAAGCAGATTTTACTCTTAATCCTATTTTCATTTGCACAAATATTTTACAGGAACAAATGTACCTACAGCTAAAATAAATATCTTTATCGTTTTGCATCATTCTCTATTCTGCACTTTGCAAGAACGCGCTTTCAGACCATATTAAGTTTACAGGTGCGAAAGGAATAATCATTTTCGCCTTCCTCTTTTTCGGCGTCGTCACGACTCCTTCCGTGTTATTTCTTCATTCCGCTGGCAGATAAATAAAAAAAGGGGGAAGTGTGCACACTTGGCAGGGGTCTTTGCAACAGTCCGCCTGTCACAAAGGAATCTTTTATTATCTCGCACTTATTGCAGCCACCTTTCGAGTCCTCCGCGACGGAATTTCTTTCGCGTCGAAGCGTGACGGGCGGCTCAATGGGTCGCGAAAAAAGTGAAATCTTCTCCTCTTAGGAGAGCGACAACGACGCGATTCCTCTCGGGGCTCTCCTTTCGATTCCATTAACTGCTATGGGACAATCAACGTTACTTACCATCGACGTGAAGTAAAACTTCTCGAATTCTCGCTCGTGAAGACGTGCCGACGTCAAATTCGTCGCTGTATGTTGTGCGTGCTTCGACAGAATATCCTCGCCTTTCTTGCAAAGCCACGATAGTACCTGCAAATTTAAAAAATCGAATGCAGGTATATTAATTTTGGTTCGTAGAACATTATTGATATAGACAATTATAGATCAGCAACTATATATCATAAGAAACTTAATTAATATAAAATTTTTTAATTCAGTTAAAGAAACAAATTACGTATTCTATATATAAGTTATTATTGATAGAACTACTTTTTTAATTAACTCTTCAGAACGTGAAAGAATATATTTCAAATATTTAAATCATTTAAAAATCTGGATTATTTTTACTTGGTATTTGTCGTTTTAATATTAATTTCGGAAATAAAAGTGATAAAGCAGTAAAACGTTATTTCTATTAATTATTGTTACTCTATCTTTCAACTGCAATCGTTTCAGCGTTTCTTTCTTTTAACGAGTTATCGAATAAGTCGCAGGCAAGCCCATATACATAAAATTATGTTTTATAACGTAACCGGTCTTAAAAGGAACAAAGAAATAATTTACACTGGACGTAACAATTATCTTGTACTCTCTCTCAAATCCACAACTTTTTATTTAAGATTAATATTTATAAAATATAAAATATATATATAGAAATTCTATATATTTTTCTTACAATCATCCGTAGCTTCATGAATCTATTGTGTGTGTGTGTGTGGGCGAATCGAAATTATAAATTTATTATTATCAATTATAAATCTGTCAAAAATGTTAAACAATTTGATTTTCTTTAAGTTACATCTGCAAATTTTCATTATTCTTATTAAAATAAACTCAGTATTAATTAATTCCTTAAAATCAGTTAATGCCTTTTAATTAATATAAATTAAATGATTCTTACAGTAACTATATTACAGATTTTAACGTTAACTCCGAAGTGTTAATAAAAACATAGCTTAGCTATATTTGTGAATGTATATAAGTTGTTGTGCTATAAGTGCATAGTTTTATCTGATACTGCAAAAATGTCAGTATTTAGTACTGCTATAGACAGTGAGTGACATCTGCTGCGTATCCAAATTTACTGGATAATTACAGCTCTCTGGCGTGGCTGTCTCTGACGTCACAGTCATGTGGGAATTATTTATGGCAATATCACTCACAATCAGTAATATATTACACACGGGATACGCAAATATGTTGCCAACAATATGTTGCTCTATTTCGATCATAAAATCGTACAATAGATGCAACAAGACAATACTGTACTCCTACAGATCGACGACTCGCCACGATTAGTCACGTCTTACGCAATTCCTGCCTGCAAGAAGATCTCTACCAATGCACGCGATATTCCTTGTTATGTAATCGTAGTCTTCATTATGACGTAATTGAACAATCATACGACAGAAATGATCCTTTGATCGGTCCATGTCGAACGCGTGCTCTCGCTCGATATTGCCACATTTGCCGTCATGCTCCAGAACTCTCAAACAAACGATGGACGTATCGCTCGAGGAATTGTTGCTTATGACTTATGATGATTTAATGCTCACTCTGCTCAAGGCATTAATCGTTGGTAATTTTAGCGGTATACATTTCTGCCATTGGACAGTTACGTATAACGTATAAATTATAATGAAAAAGATTGCAAAATGTACAGTCCTAATATGTCCAAAATGTCAAAATATATTACGGACATGTATCTCAATTAGACATTCGCGTAAACAGAAAGAAGTGTGATGCAAAAAAAAAAAATAGGAAACTTATGTAAAGCAAGTCGTTAAAAGCGAAAATTTTGCAACAATGTAGACCCTGAAACTTCAAATCAAGACATTCTAAATAGCTATCAATCTTATTTATTGTTACTTTCTATTACGAAAAATAAAAAATTGACCCAATCGAAAATTGCGATCACGGAATAAGATTGATTCAATTCCATTTACCGATTTCTCCTTTCCTTTTTTCTAATCAAAGATTAGCCTCATCTGCATAATCTGACTCATAATACGATCCCTGATGGCTCAATGTCACCCTCCGTCACGGTCTTGTATCTGTCGCGGTCGTTTCACCTGTCACATACATGCCGTTGAGAACCAAAGTGTGTTTCTTGGAGGGAATTTACAACGACGACACGCACATCGAAGATTCTTGCTGATAATTAGATCGCTTCTACGCGCGCGTCGCGCGTGATAAATGGCTAATCGTCCTTCCACAACGCATCAACGAGTGGAAAATATGCGAGGATAATTAACGGCAGCAGCCGGAGGAGAACGCGTCGCGAAGGAAAGTGGATGAGACACGAGGGAAAATATTAAGAGAAGAAGAAAGAGAAAAGAACAAAGAGTTTTGCCATGACGGTGCATCTAAAATTAAACCTAAAATAGACAAAATTTTGTATAACAAGAACATTACTAATTTTAAACGTTATTGAAAAATTACTTATAATTTGTTCTTAAGATAAACAAATTTTGTGAATTTTTTCTCAAATCGCCAATGTTCACAATTTCAGAATGTTTATCACAGAGTATAAATGGTAGGAAGAAGACTTATGGTATTGAGAGATCTTGGAACGTAATAATTTTATTTTTAACAATAACGAGATTTTTAATAAACAGCCATTAGGTATATTATTATTTTTATTTATATAACTGAGCAGCCAACATTAATCCTCGATTACAGCGACAAGTCATGGATCACCCGAAACAAAAATTTTTAACTATTCTATAATCTGTATGATTGGTATTATTATATTAAGTAGTAAAAATTGTAAGTAAGAAAACTTTGAGTCTTTTTGCATCAATCGCCATAAGGCGTAGATTTATTTGCATTTTGTACTTCAAACTAGATTATAAGAAAATTTAATGTCGTCAAAAGATAAGATTCATCTTCTGTTTTGCATTCTAACTGCGGTTAGGGATAATAATTGTGTAGTGATCGGCGAAGATAATACAGAATCCAAAAATTTTATATTACACAACGATCGTTCATAATATTCATTATAATAGTCACACTGAATTGCTGAATAATGAATTGAAACATAATTATCAACGAGAATGATAACAGATTAATATCATAATTATAAATTAACGAGCAAATATTTTTACGTAATTTAATTATTGTTACGAATATAACGATATTGAAATTAAACTCAATATATTCCTTACGAACGTATACAAGATTATTGAATGTTAATTTAATACATCTTATCTCTTGACTTAGTATTTAATTTATATATATTTATTTCTGACACTCCCGCTCTAATTTCAAAATAAATTTATTAGATTTTATTTAGATATATTGAAGATGGTGTGTGTCTAATCGAGACCAAAACGTTTATGCTTATCTTATCTTTCCATGCATAACTAACGAAATAAATTTTAATCATTTGACTTGCGCTAAAAACATCTATAGTGCTATGGTATATGCTTATTATTATTTCAAACAGAAAATGTTTTAAAATTTAGATATAGTTTCGTACTAAAATACTAGCTGTCGTTGAAATCTCGTCGTTGTTAAAAAAATAATTAGTGTGTTCCAAGATACGTAATCTCCTCTACTTCACATTATTCAAACGCATAAATTATTTAAAAGTACATCTCACGCAAGATTGTGTCCGAGATGAAATGAAGACAAACGAACGTTCGCCGATGTTTGCAGATATAAGACAAGAGCTGTATACACATGAGCATCAGAAGCGAGGAGGAAGGGGACTCCGCCTCTGCAAAGAAGAAGGTGGACCTCTTGAAGGAGCATGATTGGACCAGAGGAGAAACGGAAACCGCTTCGATCATAAGCAAACCATGGCTTATTTAGGTCACTGGGCCGCGTTAGGTGAGTCGCCGATCGAATGTCGTGCATACGGCTCTGCACAACACGCGGATCCATCGAGTGTGCAAACCGCTTGTCTGTGAAATGGTAATGTAGGAGCGCGAGCAGCGAATTTCGCGTATCGCCTTTGATCGCGTACGATTTATCTCACGCATAGATCGCGCCCGAGAATCACGCACACCGCCGCGATTTCTAGGTAAATATGCGAAGAACGGATACGCGGATGTTCATTGTACAGATTAGAGAATGGTATTTATGTCTCGTGCAACGTCTTGTCCACTTAAACGCTCGAACGTTTGATCTCGCCAAACGCACGCGACGATAATGCGAATGAAATATAAAATACAAGGCATATTCTTATTTTCTATAATAAACGGTTTTCCAATAGAAATATTACTCGATAAAAGAGAGAATATAGAATTTAATTTCTTTTTTTCTTTTTTAAGTAAGACAGCAAGAGGTATCACAACGTGATAAAGGATAACTGTCCATTCATAGTAAATCATTTGCGGAAAAGAATAATTACGGCACAGAAACTTTGTAATTTTTTTTGACTAGATGTCGATGTGTCAGACAAGTACCGGTCGTTTTTGCAACTTCTCAACTCCGAACGTTGAGTTATCGATCGGTCGGGGAGGCAAACGTGGGAAATGAAAGTTAAATCACGCGCTAACTAATGTACACACTTCGCGCAGGCCATAAAAAGATTATAATATATCATCATCCGGGAATTATATGCATTAAAAGCCGCCGGTATTTAAAGCGGGCGTACGGATATTTCATGCGCGACGCGGCCGGAGCGTGACGCTTAACCCAATTACGAATTTTTCAAACCTTGCCTCGAGAGTGAAGAGAGCCGTCATGTCATTTCGTATCGATCGAGAGTGTGCATCGGTGAAGCACAAACGTGGGAAGTAAAAACTAAATCGCGTGCAAAAGCGCCGTGCGTCTCTCGTTGCGGAATTAACGCTGTATAAATCATCGTGCCGGCGCGTTGCATTCATCGACATTAGTGGAGGCTCACTCCCGACGTCGTCGCACATTCCATAACCGTAAGAACCATGCGAGATCATAAGAAGCGAGACATGCGATGAGTATCTCGTTATCATCGTATTTTCCTCCCCTTCTTCTTGATTCTCCCTTGATCCTCTTGGAAATACTTGTGTGCGATTTTTTTAAACCGCTGGTTTACCATAATTGCAACATCTCTGACAACATCTCGCTTGACATGAATGAAAATACAATGTAGAATTTTGAAT